CTAGAGCTCCTGGATAAAATACAAATAAGAATCTGCAATATTATTGGTCCTAGTCTGTTGGCTCGGCTTCAGTCAGTTTCCTACCGCCGTAATTTTGCCTCTCTCTGTCTTTTCTATAAATACTTTCATGGTAATTGTTCGGATGAGCTTTTCTCTATGACTTTATGAATTTAAGCGCAGTACTAGATTGGCGGAAAGGTCTCATCATTTTACCGTTGAGTTGGCGAGATGTAAACATAAGTTCTATGATAACAGTTTCTACTCTCGCATTTCTCACTTGTGGAACTCTCTCCCGCCTTCTTTTTTTCCAGCCAATTTTGACCTTCAAAAATTTAAATACAATGTCAATCGTTATCTACTGTCTTCCTGATTACTCTTCTATTGTTCTCGGTCAATTTTCACTTGTGGAAATCTCTTCCGGCTTCTTGCTTTCTAGTCAACTTTGATCTTCAGGAATTTAAATGCAGTGTCAATCGTTATCTCGTGTCTTCCTGATTACTCTTCTATTGTTCTCGCCCCTTAGTAATATTTCTGTTTCCTAATATTTTTACATGTGTCTTAGAGGCTTTACTACCTTGTTTGGAGTGAAACCGATTAAGAAAAAAAAAAACAAAAAAAAAAAAACTGTCCAGATTACGACAAGAATGAAATATATACACTATTTGTATTGTTCGGACTGTTGTCCTCATCTTCGTTGCCATATTCACGACATTTCAACCGTTGTACGCTCCGGCCCTCTTCAGGTGATCGGAATTTCGAACCGAGCCCTTTATTTCGTTCACCGGATTGTTCTGAAGAAAGCCGGAGTATACAACGGTCGAAATGTAAGTAGTGTAAATAATTACACTACCTCATCATTGAAATATAGACATATCCTGAAGAAGGTCGGATCGTACAACGGTCGAAAAGTCGTGAATATGGCAACGAAGATGAGGACAACAGTCCGAACAATGTAAGTAGTGTAATAATTACAATACCCCATCACAGAAATATAGACTTATCCTGAAGAAGGGCGGAGAATACAAAGGCCGAAACGTCGTGAATATGACAACGACGATGAAGACAACAGTCCGAACAATGTAAGGAATGTAAATAATTACAGTACCCCATCACAAAAATATAGATATATCCTGAAGAAGGGCGTAAATTACAACGGCCGAAACGTTGTGAATATGGTAACGAGGATGAGAACAGCAGTCCGGACAATGTAAGTAGTGTAATAATTACAATACCCCATCACAGAAATATAGACTTATCCTGAAGAAGGGCGGAGCATACAAAGGCCGAAACGTCATGAATATGGCAACGAAGATTCAACAGTCCAAACAATCTAAATAGTGTAAATAATTAAAATACTTCATCTCAGAAATGGGGACAGATGAATGGAATAGTGTTTTTTTTTTTTTTTTTTTAAACATTTCGCCCTAAGCAAGGTGGGAGTGCCACAACAAGCAACGGGTTACGGAGAGTGAGATTAAGAGTAAAGAGGGGAGTTTGAGGCAAAGAAATAGAAAAGTACGGTGATCAAGATCAAGACATCAGAAGATGTCGATTGACATTACATTTGAATATTTGAAGATTATAGTTATCAGGGAAGCGAGTAAGAGGAAGGGAGTTACACTGTTGGGAAGTGCAAGAGAAGAAGCTGTTGGAATAGAAGAGGCTGTTACATTTAACTGTTTCAACAGTGAAAGGCTGGGACTGAGATGCCAACCTAGTAGCACGCTTAAATTCATGCAGTTGGGTTACCATTGAAAGTAATACCTCAGGGCATTTGACATGAAAATATTTGTAAGAAAGACAAAGGTAAGCCACATGACGTCTGCGAGAAAGTGACAGGAGTCGAGATGCCATGACAAGACCTATCATATTGCATATCCGTCTTTGGATATTCTCGAGAACTTCGAGATGAACAGTGAGGGCACCTGACCATATATAGCAACAATATTTAATGTAAGGTCGAACGGTAGATTTATAGATTTGAAGGATAAACCCAGCCGAGAAAACCTTCTGGCGCGACACAAAGAGCGAACTTTCCTTGCGGTAAAAGAAGCTATTGATTCAATGTAGTGATTCTATTTCAGGTCAGACGAAAACGGCACACCATCTGTTTTTTTTTTTTTATTTGTGAATATTATTATTGTTTGAGGTTTAAAATTATTGCTTGACTTCCTCCCCATCACGCGTGGTTTGCTTCCCTATGAAATCATATTTCGATCGAACCTCTGAATCTTTGCCTTTTAAAAGTGACCTTGAAATCTCGACTTATGCACGAACATTTACGGCACATCTGATATGAATTCTCATCGCAAAGGGAAAAATCGTGTGATTAGAAAAATGAATGATATTTATTATAAATTGTTACTGTAAACAATCAAATGAGAAGATGCTGCGTATGTTCCAGGGTTCATCTTACACATGCATATACACACACGCATATACTATATATATATATATATATATATATATATAAGTGAACATAAGTCAACACTCAGAGGCGACAGTCTGTTTCATGCTAGACGCAATCGGGCGGCCTGACGATTGCGTCTAGCATGAAACAGACTGTCTATCTAAGTATTGACTTCTATGTTCGTTTTTTATTTTACAAACGCTCTATCTGTGATATTGAGTACTTTATCCCATAAATATAGCACACCTAAAGACTATATTTCTTCATATATATATATATATATATATATATATATATATATATATATAATATAAAAGGCTCAAACACTAATATTCCATGGTTATAATTTATGACATTGGAATCGTACTCCAATTCATCAGACCTACATATTCAAAATGAAATCGAAAATATAACTCTGAGTATTAAAAACAAAGTTTTAGTGAGAGTGTATGTGTGGGAATGGGAAACAAGAGTGAGAGGGAAATGTGGAAAGCTTTAGAGAGAGGGTGTAACAGAAGAAAGAAGAACAGGAAAGGCCTTAAGGTGAAGGTGGGGATTCAAATTTAACATAGAGAAGTTTTAAAGAGAGGAGTTAATTAATGGTTTAAATGAGTGAGATACAGATAAATATGAATTATATATATATATATATATATATATATATATATATATATATATTAAAGACATTTTTATGTTTAACATTCTTTTTATAGATACATATTATTTATTATAAACATTTGATACGCCATGAGCAGTTATGAATGTACGAGATTCATGGAAGATTGAAGTTCATAAGCAGTAAATTCGATCCTTTGTGGCCGAGAGGTTAGGCATGTCAAGCTAAATGACGGTTCCGTATAGGATGCAGGTTCGAATCCCGTCAAAGGACGAATATTTTCTATGAAAATTTCTCGGACATTCAGGCCAGTAAATGTTATTTAATACTGGTTATTATAAACAGAGCATTTACTTAAATACTTGTTTCTATAAAAAGAATGTTAAACATAAAAATGTCTTTAATAAAGTGTCGGACTTTGTCCATTTTTTAATATATATATATAGAGAGAGAGATATACGGAAACTAGCATATTTTCTCACGTTTCGTGTATTTGTTTATATGTGTCTATGTGTGCATTTTTCGTGTGTGTACGCATATATGTATATCTGTGTGTATACGTGTATGATTTTATCTGTGTACGTATTGAGGTCTGAGTTGGGGGTGTACAGGCGGACATTTCGCCTGAAGAATATTTGATATTCCCCCCCCCCTGCTGTTTTACAATTCGTTTCTTATCGTATAAGAAACGAGTGCGAGTGAATCTCTTTATCGTTTATCCCCCTTTTTTCTTTTTTTTTTTTTTTTAGATCTAGACTGATCGCAACAAGAAGTGGGTATTTAGTTTGTGATTTAAAAAAAAAATCTTACTGCTGGTGGCTACTTGGTATTCATAAACGAGAATCCCTCGCCTAGTATTTGAGAGAAAATGCTTACTACTACGACGACGACTACTCCTATGTCTTACTTAGGAGAATGAAACATTACACAATGGACCATGTGTTCGTCTGTCAGTTGGGGGAGAGGAGGGTGACATTGTTTAGACGTGTTCCTTCTTGTAGATGACAGAAATTAGAGGCGTGTCTGGAGAAAAAAAATGACTAGTACTACTACTACTACTACTACTACTGTTATTATTATAATTATTCCTTTTGTAATAACTTTATTATTATTATTATTATTATTATTATTATTATTATTCCTTTAGTAATAAACATCAGTAAGTAACTTGTGGTTTATACTTGCTATTAAATAACAATAACTCGTAGTTAGCCGTCGCTATTTTTTTTATTATTCTTCACCCCATACAAAGCCCAAGAGTCACTCAAGGTAGACGGTTGCTGAATGAGGCTATTGTAATGGTATAAGGAAAGAGGTAGAGGTGTATATTATGAATATATATATATATATATATATATATATATATATATATATATATATATATATATATATAGAGAGAGAGAGAGAGAGAGAGATAGATAGATAGATAGATAGATAGATAGATAGATAGATAGATAGATATGGGTGGACTGTAATAGATAGATAGATAGATAGATGCGAACGGAGATGGAGAAAGAGAAAAAAGATAGATGGATAGATAAGAATAGACTAAACAATGGAAAAATAGATGCAAAATGAGAGAGGTAGAATTAGATAGATAGATAGATAGATAGGGAGAGAGAGAAAGCGAGAGAGAAGGAGAGAGATACACCGAATGCTGCTCATGGAAAGGAACTCAATGAACCTTTGAAAAGAAAAGCGCGCCAATATTTTATGTAAATTGATCGACCTTTATACTGTCGCAGCTGAACATTTTGCAACGTCCATTTGAATCAAAGATGTCTCTGTTGTTTTAGTGCCTCAATGATTCTGTCAGTAATCATCGGATAACAGCAGTAAACTTTACAGGAACCTGTGGAGAGCCATGATCGCTTGGATCCTAAAGAGAAATGACATTTCTCGCTGAGGATCATTTTGTTTTTGTTTTTGTTTTTAGAGTTAGATAGTATTAGGAGAGTTTAGTTTTTGACTACCTTCTCTGAAAACAGATCGCTTCTCCGTTACTGTTTGGTATTTAAACGACTTTGAAATTATGCAAAAAGCGAATCTATAGCATGCCGCTTTTATCAATTAAAAGTCATTTTTAGTGGTGACCCATATTTTAGTAGACGCTCTGTTTTTATTTTTTGAAACAGTATATTTATTACCGTCTACTGACCTGAATATTCGAGAAATCTTATTAAAGTATAATGTGTGCGCTCCGGTAGGATTCGAACCTGCTCCCACTTGTCTGGAGAAAACGACGTTAGATCTAGCGTACTTATACCGACTCAGCCACAAAAATCTATGTCGATCAAGTAAGGTTGAATAGTACTTTCAAACAAAATCCCTCTCGTCATAGATTCTCGTGTCCTGGGTATGACGATAAACTACATCCGACAGCAAGGCCTCTAATCTGGAGATTTTGAGGAGCGTGGAACCATCTCTTAATTGCAGTTGTTCTCAGGTCCACCCAACAGCAGGTCCTAGCTATGGGCAAATAGTTAACCTTCAAAATGGAATCAAAACACTATGAAAGTATAAAAATAGATTTTTATAGTAAAAATACCAGCAATAGATTTTTGGGGAAAAAAAGCCAGCGATATATTTGACTCGACAAAAACCCACTTCACAAAAAGACGTCAATAAAACCGGACCTACAAACTTAATTTCTTACAAAGAATATATATTCCATTCATCCGAACCTATCCTAAAAATCGTGTCGGCATTAAATAACCCATTGAGGTGTTGATATGCCTTAAAACAAAATAAACCAAACCAGACTTTCGATAAAAACACTCTTTACAAAAATACGTCAATGAAACCAGATCGACTAGTAACTGATTTCTTACTAAGAAAACATACTCTATTCATACGAACCTATTCTAATAAACTTATTGGCATTAAATAACCCACTGAGGTGTTGATATGCCGTAAAACAAAATAAACTAAACAAAAGTTTCGATAAAAACCCTCTTTACAAAAATACGTCAATGAAACCTGATTTCCTACAAACTGATTTCTTACTAAGAAAACATATTCTATTCATACGAACCTATTCTCGTAAAGTTGTTGGCATTAAATAACCCATTGAGGTGTTGATATGCCGTGAAAAAACTAAAGTAAACCAAACCAAACTAAACTAAACCAAACCAAACCAAACCAAACTAAACCAAACCAAACCAAACTAAACCATAGATTCTAGAAATTTCATACCTGCTCAGTTTCGAATTCAAAAGTAAACAAAGCAATTTCTGAAGAAGTACTGGATTTTTTTGTTTATATAATCCGACAAGTTTTATCACTTAAACGTTATTCTTAGCTGATATATTTAAGTAGACGTTCTTTTTTTATTTTTTAAACAGTATTTTTATTTACATCTATCAGCCTGAACATTCGAGAAATTTTATTAAAGAAAAAAATGTGTCATCTAGCAGGATTCGAACCTCCGTCGCCCTTTTCATTCATACTAAAATAGCTCCTGGCTTCCAAATCAAAGATTATATTTTCGACTTTTGGCAAAAGACAATATTTATATATATATATATATATATATATATATATATATATATATATATATATATATATATATATATATATATATATATATATATATATATATATATATATATATATATATATATATATATGTGTATCCGTGCGTGCGTGCATTTGCAAACGCTGTCGTAACCAGATTTTAAAATGTCTAACTGATCAGACCCTCCTCACGATGGAAGCCAGATTTCTCGACATAAAAAAAACACCCAACTACGAAAATAAATGATGAAAGGTTATCAAAATCACACAGCAGGCGATTTGATTTCCCCAGTGCGTCTCATAGGCTTTGAGAAGAACAATTTCTTCGAGTCCCCGTTCTTTAAATCGGGCTGGCGTCGTAGAGGTTTTGTCACAACAAGGTACACTGCTGATATGGATGTCTTGAGCTGTTGCAGACAGGCCACAAATGTCGTAGGACGCGCAAAAATGTCGTGTAGTTAAATGTGAAAGTTCGGAATAAAGAAATAACGTTGAATATACTCAACTCTCACTACAGGGACTTTCTATGTATCTTATCCGGCAAAACGGTAGTGGCAAGACGATCTTTGGCCCCGTTCAAACGAAGTGTTTTTGAGGGAAAGTCAGTTGATTTTGACGAGAAGTGCTTCTGATATTTTCAAATATTATATATACCCTAATCAACGTCCCACAAAAAAAATGTTATCCTGGGTAAGACGATACACTACATCTGATAGCAAGATCACTGATCAGGAGATTTTGAGGAGTATGGAACCACATCTTAATTGTAGGTCCCAGATCCACCCTGACCTGGGGTGGTAGCATATGTCATGGTCCCAGCTATGGGCAAATAGTTAACCCCTAAACTGGAGACAAAACATGAAAGTGTATAAATGGGTTTTAATACCAGCAATACATACTTGTAAAAATATTACCAGCAATGCATTTTTGAAAACAAAATATTACCAGCAATATATTTTTGGAAAAAAGTATTACAAGCAATGAAAATCTTGTCGTCATTAAATAACTCATTGAGATTGGTGTGGCGTAAAACAAACTAAACCAAACCAAACCAAACTAAAAAAAAGTCCCAGTTCAAATCACTATGTTTCTTGCAACGGGGTCGTCCATTGAAAAGATATATATGGTCAGGCCATAGGTGGGTTCTTGTCGACTAACTTTTTTTTAAGTATTTCACTCCATGGGAGGCCGGAGTGCCACTAGCACGCAAGGGGTTCCAGAGCGAGAGCAAGAGTAAAGAGGGGTGTTTGAGGAAAGGATACAGAGAAGGACGGGGAACAGGATCAGGGCATCAGATGCCGATTGGCATTACATTTGAATATTTGAAGTTTATAGCTATCATGGAAGCAACTAAGAGGAGGGGATTTTCACTGTAGGGAAGTGCGAGAGAAGAAACTGTTGGAGTAGAAGAGGTGGTTACATTTAACTGTTTCGACAGTGAAAATATAGGACCGAGTTGCTAACCTAGTAGCACGCTTAAATTTAAGCAGTTGGGGTACCAGTGAAAGTAGCTCATCAGAGGAGTTACCATGAAAATATTTGTAGAAAAGACAGAGGGAAGCCTCATTACTGTCTTAGTCGATTTGATTTAACCATTGTACATTTTTAGTTATGGCGTAGGCCGATGTTTATCTTTTGATTGGTTGATAGAGTGATTCATTTTCTACGGCTTATCAACAAACAATAAATTATAATGTGGATATAAAGTGGGGGATCAACTCTCTATTAAAATCGACATGTAAACTGATCCCTCACTTTATGGCCACAGTAGTTTCTATACATTTTTATTCCAGAGTATGTAAATAAATCTAAAAGATATGGCAGTGTAGCTAATAAGTATTTGATTGATTGATTTGTTTTTAACGGCTTATCAACCCTTTGCAGGTTATTTAAAGCCAGAAAATATTTTATCACTTGATAAGACACCAGAAGTGTCGAAACAAAATGGTTATTTTTCTAGTGTAGTTATAACATGTTTATGTTATAATTTTTGAATAAATAATATTTGCTCTACACTGTATTGAGCACTCTTTTAAGAATAGTGTGTTTGGTTACCGGAATTTTATTCCATCTATACCAACCCTGTATTCGTATATATATATATAATGAAAGATATCAGAATTTTTATTTTCTTATACAGTGAAAGTAATAAAAAAAAATACGTTTATAGTAATAAAAATTAATATTGGGTATAAAACCCAGTCAAATATATATGTGCTGATATCCCCCGACGAGTGGGTGCAGTAATTCCCGGAGTCGGGATGCTGAAGATAATATCAATCAGCTAATTGACAAACCTTTTACTTGTAATGATTTTTCTTCTCTCTCTCTCTCTGTCACACTGAGGAGCTGTGATACAGCGAAACATTCTGTCTTGTGATGACTATATATATATATATATATATATATATATATGGAGAGGGAGAAAGACAAAGAGAGATATGAACAAACTGAGATAGATTAATAAGTAGTAAGAGATTAAGACTGACGGATAGACAGACTGAAAGATAGATAGATAGATGGATAGATAGATAGATATATAGATAGATAGGAACAGATTAAGATAGATTTGAATAGATAGATAGATAGATAGATAGATAGATAGATAGATAGATAGATAGATATGCTTTATTGGCTAAATCACTGGAGTGTGAGGAAAATATCGTGAAAAGAGGCACAGTTTTTCCCGCCAATAGAATCGTACTGAATCTTTGATGCCCAGACCAAACCCAACGACACAAACAGGATGTTGTCTGTCAAATCGTCGACAGAGGCATTTCAGGGTGTCTAGCTTGTGTCGCGGTCCGTTCCAGACGGGGATCCACCCAGAGTCACCTGTGGCCGGATACTCTTAATTTTGGGGAAATTAGTGTCGACGTCAAGATTGTTAGAACGTCAGCCTCGGAATGAGCATTAAAAAGCGAGAAGTAAAATGGAGAGAAAGAAAGAGTGAGAGTAAAATGCGGGTAGGGTAGAAATGTTGACGGAGATAAAAGAAAGAGAAAAACAGGTGTGAGGAAGAAGGAGAGAAAGTGTGGGATAAGTAGACAGATACAGAGTGTGAGTAAGGGAAAAAGAGACAGAAGAAGAAAAAAGAGAACGTAAGAAAAGGAGGGAAGAAAGAGATAAAAGAGAGACTAAAAAGAGGATAAAAAGAGAACTGAAAAGAGAGACAAAAAAGGGGACTAAAAAGAGAGACAAAAAAGAGAGACAGAAAAGAGAGACAAAAATGAAAAAAGAGAGACAAAAGACAGGACTAAAGAGAGAGATAAAAAGAGAGACAAAAGAAGACAGAAATGAGAGACAAAAAAGAGGGACAAAAAAGAGGATAAAAAGAGAGACAAAAAAGAGGGACAAAAAAGAAGACAAAAAGTGAGCAAATATAAACATATACACACACACACATATATATATATATATATATATATATATATATATATATATATGTGTGTGTGTGT